GGCAAGGTAAGGAAGCAATCTAAGTGTGTTCATCAATAGATGAATGCATAAAGAATATGTGATATATACACACAATAGAGTATTATGCAGCAATAAAAAATGAAGCTTTCCCATTTGCAACAACATAGATGGACCTGGAGGGTATTATGTTTAGTGAAACGAGCCAGAAAGAGAAAGACTAAATACTCTGTGTTATCACTTATATATGGAATCTAAAAAATAAAACAAACTAGTGAATATAACAAAAAAGAAATGGTTCGTGGGCATAGTTAGCTGCAAATTGCACCTATAGGATTTGGTGATATAATGAGAAGAGAAAGCTGTGTTTCCATTTTAATCTCTATCAGGGATTAATTTAGATTTCTAGTTTCTTAATGTGCTTCTGCCATTATTGTTCTTGATTCAAGAAAGTGTTCAGAACCCCAGCTTCAGGACAGTCTCTTCTGGGAGAGTGAGTTTGTTTTTGCCTCTGATATGTGTTCCTTTTATTTTAAAATACAATAGGGTTTTGTTTGTTTTCCTGGGAAATGGCATAAGAAAAGGCTCGGAGATTTGTGGCATCAAATGGTCAATGTACACCTTGACTTTGACATTCATCAGTGTTCTAGCTATGATACCAACACTACCCTTTGAGACCTTGGGTACTCACTACTCTTCTAGTGCTCAGCCTAGGGGTAACATTTCCAATTTTCTCTTAAACCGTCTACTCATTTACAGGACTCTTCTTCAAGCCATGGTTTCTCAGGCACCTACCTCAGTAGACCCTGTGAACGCAATCTTGTCTATGCCAACGTGAGAAGCTATTGCTGCCCCGGCCGTTGGCCCGTATCCTGGCAAAATATTGATGACTCCCGGTGGAAAGCCAGCCTAACAAAACAGAATTGGAGGAAACATGGCTTGTGAAAGCTGATGAAGCACGTTAAATCGGATATGCTCCAGTAGGCCCCAACTGTGAAGGGAGTGGGAGCCCCCCTGAAGTTGGCTTCTCTTACCTCCTTGATGAGGGCTCCCATGTAGAGCGCGCTGAGTGGTGTTTGTTCTGCTGGCTTAATAACTACTGTATTGCCACAGCACAGAGCTGGAGCAACTTTCCAGGCAAACATCAGCAGGGGGAAGTTCCACTGAAAGTGAAAAACTCAGGGTTGATAGATGGAAAAATATTTCTCTATTACTTTGTTTTCAACCTGTGACTTCTCAGATTTCTCAGACTTGTCCTCAACATAAATCTTGTCCCACCACAGAGTATAGATGTTTGGATTTTTTAAATTACTTCATTAAGAATAGAATAGAACTGACCTTGAAAATCTCTCCTATTCTCTCTAGTTAGCAAATTACTATTTCCCAGCTACCCACCAAAAGAAATCTCATGGTGAAAAGGGAGTCTGTTTTCCTTTGTTTTGTTTAGGTTTTTCATTGTTGTTATTTTATATGTTTTTAAAATTAGACTTTAGTTCCAGTAAATTCTGTGTATGGAAATTTTTTCTTGCATTTGTGATTTTTAAACCAGGATATCAGACTGGTATGAAAGCTCTTAAGAGTGGAAGAACTAGAAGTCAGTGTATACTTCAAGGTAGTACCTTTTCTTTGTGTACAGACATACATGTGTTGTCACAAGACACATGATTACAAAAATAAAGTGCATATCTACTGATGAGTACACAAAAATTTTAGTTGGCCTTCTTGCCATTGCAAAAAAATATATGTGAGTATCTGAATTGGGGCCTAAAGTGGCTTAAATGGATTTTAAAAGGATATTAAGCTTGTATTGTCATAAGTGCAGGCATGAGCCTTAGTACTATCAGGTGTCGTTGATAATTTCATTAAGACAGAAAACAGAAATCCTGGTTCCGTGGCTTCAGCCCCCGACCACAGTGTGTTTCTGCCTGAAGCATCTCAGCTGCCATCCTTGAAAGATTCTCACTGGCCCTGGCAAGCTTGCAAAAATATACAAGTGTCTTGCCTTCACCAAACACCCAATTTCTTTTCTCCTTAGTTGTTTATAAACTTGGGAGTCCACAGTGATGTTTTAATTCCATCTACAGTATATAAATCTTGGAGCGCAGTAACTGAGCTGGAGCTGGCTGACAAGCGGCTCTTGTCCTGTCAGTGAAAGCTGCAGCTCCCAGAGTCTGGAGAAGGGCAAGAAGAGCAGGTTTGAGTTCCTGCCATTAAGGTGACAGACCTCATCCCCACTCTGATCCAACTGGGATTTCCTCCGGTGGTTTAGGAGCAGAAGAACTTAAACCAAACCTCTCATCTTCCCTTTTCATTCTCTAATAAATTTCACGGTAACCCAGAGCTTGTAGATCATTAAATATAAATGAATACTTCTCAAAAATCTCTGGCTCCCAGAACCAAAGATTAGCTTGAATTATTCTCCTGTATTTTGAGAAGAGAAAACTTCTTGTCCATACTGTAATTCAAATTGAGCCTCCCCTGAAGTCCCTGCCAGAATGATTAGCTAGTACTGTTGGAAGACTCGATGATGTTTTGTGTAGTGCCAAGGCTGTGTATGAGAGAGAGGAAAAAGACAATGTTTAATGTTCCAATCCAAACACTAAGCACCACATCTATTTCCCTTTACAAGACACATAAGAGCCCGGCATGGTTTCAATTATGACTGTGACGTTAATTGTACTGCTGTGTCTTCTGTAGAGTCTTCTATCTAGATTTTTGTGAAAAGAAACAGTGGGAAAGAATGGGATTAAAAGACCATATAAAACAATACGCCTGGAAAAATGGTGAGTCACAGTTCTAAAAAATAAACAAGCAAATATAACAAAGCATTAGTTTTCCATAAGCAGATTGGACATCCATAACCAAGGGCAGGTTATTAATACACTGGGCTTTGCTTTGCTTATTTTAATCATGAGAATTCCATGACTTGAGAACTCAACTCCTGGTAACAGAGCTGAAACCCTATTAACCTGTTCAAATAAGCATTTGCAGGGAGGCTGTTAAAGATATGTCAACAACATGAGCTCAGGGCTTTTTTTCCCCCAGTAATGGAAAACACACATCACTGAGGTCCATGTTTTATGTATCCTTAAGAGAACTGGTTCAAGAGAAAATAAATACAAGGCGTGAGGAGATACACTTACCGGGATGATCTGTCCACACACTCCAATGGGTTCGTGTCTTGTAAAGGTAAAATAGTCTCCATCTGAAAGAAATGAGCATGTCACTATCAGAGAGTTCAGACAAGAAGAAAAAAAATGCAGAAGGAGAACGTGCATGGCAGCAAAAAGCAGAAATAAAGTTGAAAAAAACTTTATTTTCTTCATGGTTCCTACTCAACCATGTATGAAAGGTTGTAGGAGAGCTATCACTTGGCAACAGGTTTCTCCAGATACGGTTCCCAGACACCTGAACAGAGTACTGATGAGAGGACCTCGTTTACGATATCAGATGCAGTCCTGGGGTGGAGGGCAGGGAGGGATGGGACCAGGAAACCAGGAAGTACTAAATTTTACTTTAAATATTAAAGTGATACTTACACGTAGCACAGTTAACTGAGTTAAAAACTGAGGTACCTCAGAATTTTAAATAGCTTTCTGAAGTACTAAAAAAGAAAGTAAGTAAAATGCTATTGGGTACACTGAGATTGCTAGGTGACTGGAAAAGGTGAGGAACAGAAGTAAGACCTATTTCATAATTTAATCCCAGTGTCCAAGTACACTTCCAGGCACTGGGCGAACCCAGGCATGTTTGGCCTATTTCAAGAAGGCAAAAGTCTACTTCAAAGAAGATTCCATCAATAACCCAAAGCCTCCACCCTCAAACTAGCCATGGAAATGAAGATGATTTAATCACCTTATGTTCCTTATAGGAGCAACAGGAAATTGGAATAAATACCTAAGAAATCCAAACCTAATTCATTTTTAGGAAAGTACCATTATGTTTATCTGAATTATTTTAGGTGGCTAATTGAACTAACTGAAGAATGTCTAGCTTTTAGCAGACAGCTTTTCATTTCTGGTACTGGGTCTTTGTTTTTTCCTCAAGTGCCAACCCTTTGATCACTTCACTGGTATTTGTTTTCTCTCTCAAAAGCTGTTTCACAGGGAAAGTGAAGACTCTTTAGTTAATACTCAAGAAGAGCATTACAATTAGGGGTGGGGATCAAAGTGGGCACAGAAGGAGATGGCAATTCTTCACAGAATTAACAGCTATCTGTTGCTGATGCATCTTTTCAAAGAACTTTTTTTCCCACATACAGTAGCATGCTTTTATCCCCTCTCTCTTAAGAAAAAAAATGAGATCATATTATTCATTGTCTTCTATACTTTGTTTTTTCCCCCCTCTTTTTTTCCATATAAAGCTAACACATTTTTCGAACTACTGAGTATTATTCCACTGGCTCAATAAATAACAGTACTACTGTAAACTGTCCTGAGGGACACACAAACTGCCTTCAGTTCAGGATATTATAAATAATGCTGTAACATTATCATTTTATATATCTCTACATATCTGTGGAATTTCATGGTCAAAGTATATAGGCATTTCACATTTGGATAAATATTGCCAAATCACCCTTCAGGAAAATCACACAACTCATAATTCCAACAACATGATTTTTTTCCTACCCTTTAACACTAGAGTTTTTCAAACATTTTAATTTTAGTCAACCTTACAGGTGAAAACTGGCAATGTGTCTTGATCTCTTTAATGATATACAGGTTGAATATTTTTCATGTTTACTGGCTGTTTAAAATTTTTTCCTCAGGTTTATATCCTTTCCCATTTTTCTACCTGGGTTATTCTTTTTGGCCATTTAGCAAACTCTATGTATATTAAGGAAATTAGGCCTTTGTCATGTGTATAAGTAAAGTCTTTCCCTAATCAGCTACTTGTCTCCCAATTTTGTTTCATGTATATTACTTTAAATGGAAGAATTTAGGAAGTAGGTAGTGCTCAGAAACTGCAGGAAGGAAATTATTTTAGAATGTATCATCACTACCACAAGAAAACAGCCAGAATGTGGAAACTGTCCATAGAGGGACAAGAAGTTTGAGTAGTATTTTAAAAATCAAATTAACTCTTAGGTTTGTATACAGACAACTCAAGAATTTTTATAGATGTCTTTCCTTACAATAGTGCAAATTGCTATCCTTCTTCAACTTATAAATCTCTGTAAAGTTTATTTTCCCATTAATACTTTATAATGTTTCACATTTTTCCCAGAAGATATAAATGCGATATTAGGCTTCTTCTTGGAAAAGTTTTTTTCATGGAGAGCAAAACTGCTCATCAATATACAAGAGAACTTCATTTGGAAGGAAATTCTTCCCAAGTAAACTCTGCAATTTGGCTAAGGTGATGGATTCAAGTATTAATCACAGACAACAGAACCAGAATGTAACATCAGGATGGAGTGCAAATGAGCTGAGTGAAAAATGGGAATATGAGCTGAAGAAACAACACAGGTATTTGAGCAGCACGTGTGGGAAACTGGAACGGTTCAGAGAAAATCCACAGGGCACTGGCGCAAGCACAGCATGGTAATTCATAAAGCATTTCCCCCTACATTCTAAATACTGACGAATTTAGTTGTATTACTTATGTAATTTTGAAAGTTACTTAAGAAATGAAACGTAGAAGAAAAAATGTGGGAAAATCTTAAAAAGTTAACTTCAAGAACTGAACTCCACTCCGTAATTGTATCTCAAGAGAACTGAGTTATGGGGAATGAAAATTTTCTTGGATAAACTGTTCAAAGACTTGACATTTAGCCAAAGGCTGGTACAAAAAAGGAACTGAAGAATCTTCCATCTAAGTTCCTCTAAGCAGTAAATAAAGAAATAAAGGGTATTTTGGTGCTTGAACTCTTCCTAAAAGAACACTGAGTGAAAGAGATAGAGAGGGTCCCAGACCTTGAGCTCAGCAGTATCGCTCACTCTATTACTTACTTATAATAACATTATTATATTACTTACTTATAATAATAGCTTACTCTCTTACTTACTTACAATTTCTTAAATTAACTCATCTTTAAAAAAATCTGTAACAGATAGCTATTTGTTAGCCTCACCTTAAGGAAAACCTATGAAATAACAGATTTCATGAACTAGCAATATTATCTTCTAATATTCTTCAAACTGAATAATTAAAATAAAACATGCTTACTACTTAACGTATAGAATCAACTTGCATGCAGCAGTGCCACATGTATGCCGTATTGTGCTTCTCAAATTTAAATGTGTACACTAAGCACCTGGAGATCTTGTTAAAATGCAGATTCTGAATCCTTAAGTCTAGGGTAGGACCTAAGAGTTTGCATTTCTGCAAGCTCCCAGGGTGATGTGGGCCCGGTGCTTCTGATCCACAGACCACACTCCGACAGCACGGTTCAGAGGGATCAAGCAGGTAAAGGGGAGTCCACGGGCATCAAGATGACCTACAGTTGCTGAGTTCTATTTATTTACTTTTTGCCTGGAAGGAGTCTGAAGTGTAGGAGAATCTAAACAAAGTGTTTTAACACTTTTAAAATAGTAAAATAAGAACAAAAACATATATGCATCTACAGAACCTTACAAAATATTTTCACATTCTTGCCTTATTACGTGCACACCACCACTATGGAAAATTAGGGCAAGTGTTATCACAATTTTATAACTAGAGAAAATATGGCACAGAGATTTTTAAGTCTACAAAGATAAACTGGTTAAGTTGTGGCTCCTACACTTGAATCTGGGTCACCAGATCACAAGTTCATTTCCTTTAGAAACATATTAAAGGCTCTTTTGTGAATAAGGTGTTGGAGTTAGATGGATATCACGAACTACAGAATCAGAGTATAAGGTCAATGAGTGCAAATAGCGAAAAATAGACAACCCTTTTGTGAAAAGTGAAGATGACCCTTTGAGGATGTGGGATGTGGACACAAGAGAACTCACAGAGTCTCCTGTATCTTAAGTTATAAAGAGAACACAACGGAGCAGCCCTCCCCTCAGGTTGGGGAACCCAGGGCTGAGCGCCTCTCCTCCCCTAGGAAAAGTCGACTCCAACAGGCGGCCAAGTGTTACTTCTCTCTCTTTCCTCCATCCTTACGATGATATACAATGAGCACTCCTCTCTGCCTAGAAGAAAAATTACAGCCCATTTTCCCATCTTTTATGTTAATAATGTTCTCCAGACATGGCAAGATGATTTAAAAGGCTGTTCTCTTCATTTCTGCAGCTTTGTGCCATAAAGCACGTGAGCCTGACATAGGAAAAAATCTCCAACCAAACTCAAATACTCTATTTTAGGCTACAATGATCTTAGGTCTTCTTATCAAACACAAGGCATTACAGAGAGAGCGCACACTCAGCAACGAAGGACCACATTTGATGAAAATGCCAAATAAATGTTCTGAATATCACATTCTGAGCCAACAAGTTAGAATACAACTATGGTGGAGTAAACTAAAGAAGAGATGAGACACCAAAACACAAATACTTAAATCACATGTGTAGGACTTGTTACCTCTCAGCCTCTTTCCTATTTCACTCAAGAAAGTAAAAAATAGAGAGTAACAGATACTACTCTTAAAAGGGGGTTATTTTAAGGCACATACAGACAGAGCTTCTCTGATGTGCTTTTACCTGAGTGATTACACCCTTACGAAGAATATAAAACTCTTACAACTAAAATCTTTATTTTACTATGGACTTGGTTGAGCTATGGATCAAATTTTACTGAGTATGTACAGACTGAGCCATTTATAGAATTTTACTAAAAAGAAGCTTTGTCCCTAGAGCTGAGTAACAGAAAAATCTCTTCCGTATTTGTGAACGTTGAGCCACAGTTCTATGTTCTCTGATGGGGGCTCATGAAATGACACAGAAGAGACAGTAATTACTTGGTTAATCAGAACAGTTTAACTATTTGGATTATTCCTTCAGGGTAAACATTACTTCCTAAAGCAGATTTTATAGTTGCTTAAAAAATATTTTTGGCAGAATTATTATTCTCATACGAACATCTGGCATTGACACAACCTATACACAAGCTAGAAATCATATGATAAGGTAATATGTATAGTCAATAAAGTCAGAAAAATCTGAACTGTGCCAGAAATTGAGGGGAAATTTGATCAAATTTGGATCTCAAGAAATGGCTCCCAATTACAATACTAAGAGTATTTCAAGAACTGTAGCAAATTTTACATACCTGGTA